ATTTTGAGTCCGATGTCAAAGGGAATTTGACCGATTTAACTGAAATTTTGAGCAAGTCATCTTGGATAGTTGTTCTTCAAAAGTGTGTCTCCGATTTTTTATTTTTTGCTTATTTCCGATTATTATTATTTATTATTATTATTTCCGTTATCGTGGATTTTGGCTTGCATACCGGTGATATAGCAGCGTCATAACTGTAAGAGCGTATAAAAAAGCAACGGGGCAACTAATCAAAAATCGGAGACACATTTTGACAAGTGATGTCTTGTGATCTCGGAAAGGTAATAAGCATTGGTTTCCAATCATTAACAGCTGTCGTCGAACTCCGCGAAGATGCCACGGTGAAAATTTGAATGATTCGCTCTAACTTAAGAGGATAAATGTATTTCACAAAAAGGAAAATAGGAATAGTTTCTACATTTATTCAGCTTTCAGAAAATGTATACTTTGTTGAGGTTTCGATTAAAAAGTTTTGTGCTATTAAGAGTTGAATGCACAATGGTCACTAGGGGTACCCTGATACCTTAATAAAATTTGAAAAAACTTTTTTTAATAACTAATTAAAGTGTAGCATGTACAATCAAATTAATTTTGTTTACAGAAACATTCATGATTGCAATTGATTTATTGGCTTATAGATGAGGCTTTTATCATTCAATATACAACAACCACTGAAGTATAAAAACAATAAGCAGTCATAGTACTATAAGTCACAATGTAAAGGGGTAGGAAGATATTGTGTCTCTCTTCTTCTGCTTTTCTATAAATAGAGAACCAGTCATAACAAATTTTTATATGAAATCATTTAAAAGGGTTGTTGTTACTTTGGCTATATGTGGTTGGAAGTTTCAAAGATTTCGCTAATAAGGAAGCAGCAGCTAAATTAGCATCTCCATTACATCTTCATAGTTCTTGTATGGCCTCTTCTCTGGTAAAACCCATCTTAACTATTAACTGAATCTTATCTTCTGTCACATTATCAGGCAGTGTTTGTTCACTTCCAGGGCTGAATAAAGAAGATTAACTGCTTTCATCAACTGATCTTGCTAGTGCTTGTGCAAGGTTTTTGTCTTCCATTTCCTGAGTTTTGGCTTCAGATTCAGCTTCATTGGACAAACGGGCATTAGATGGAAGCTCTGACTCAGGAAGAAAAGGTGTCCTTGTTCCTGTTGTTCCAATGACTAGTACATTATCCTTTAGATCTATGCAGCACTGTTGAAAAAAAGAACCAATTACCAATCAAAATGACTGAGAAAATGATGTAAATCAGACTTAGAGCAATTTTCAGAGAAATGGCAAGTTAAATGTCATCCTAATAACCATGGAACAAAAAGGTTTGCTTTCATAATCATGTTTCAAATGAGCATCTAACCTGGTGCCTTTTGAGCATGTCAAGGCCAAGCACTAGATCTATGACCTGATCTTCAAGAATTGAGAATGAAGATGGAAGAAAGTTGTTCTCTATTTGTATCTGAGCAAGGTGTACACGACCAATAATCTTTTGTTGTCCAACTCCTTGAGCAATACCTGACCACCGATGATCGATCAGACGTGTTATATGGCACCTTTCTGCACAAGCTGAACTCATGAATGTCATCTGTGCTCCTGAATCAACAAATGCCTTTACTGGATAACCATTTAAAGTACAGTTAATATACAACATGATGACTTTTGCAAATGACTCTGGAGAATATTCCATAGCTACTTCCATATTCTGATTGACATTTGACATTCTTATTTCTTCTGCTATCTTCTTTTGTGCCTCTGCATCAAACATATCTGCATTCATTGTCCGGATTCTTTGCATATTTCTCTCATGTAATTCTTGACGCTGCTTTTTCAAAACTTCAGCAAACATCTGAGGATGAGTCAAAGCATTGGCTAACTCTGGGTTTCTTTCCTTTAACAGAGACATTTGATGTGGATCAGTTAGAAACATCTGTCTTATGGCTTCAGGATTTTCTTCAGCACTACTTGCAGATTGCCTCTGCATATTTACTTGGTTAGATGGTCCAGCATTTCCTGTCGGTGGAACAGGAATATGGCCCCAATCTATTACCATATCACTCTTACCTCGACCTTCAAAGAAAAACCAAACATTATCTAAACAAAGAAAGAAACTCTTGTTTTTAGACATGGTGAGCTTTAAAGTTAGAAGCTTGTGGGCCATGTATCCTACATGTACACACTCATTACTACATTTAAATATTCTATAAACACAACTCTCAACTTTGGTTTTTTTGATTAGGGAAGAAAGAGAAACGAAAGAAAAACCCTCATAACATGAGAGAAGAGTAATATATCAACAAAACGTAACTCACATACTAGCTTTTACTGCAAAAAAAATCACTAATACATTTGTAATTCGTAATTTCACCATATTCTTCATTTTGATATTGTAATTCTTAGTTTGAGGCAATATGATCATTAACATCACTAGGATGGCTGGACGTCAATCAAAAATTAATGACTGTGTGATGATATACAAAATAATGTCTTAATGATGATGCTCCCCATTATCTTTCTCAAAACTTTTAAGAAATGCTCACAGGTAAATAACAGAGCTACAAGACACTGTGAGGGCTTGCATTTGATTAAATGCAGGCTGACCACAGGACAGTGTTTATTCAATTTTGGTATGAGCGGCTTTCTAGCTCGATTAGCTTTGCTATACCTAAAAAGCCTGTACTGTTAATAGGTTAATTTTCTATATAGTTAATTTTCTATATATTTTTATAGGGTGCAAACAATACTTTAGTAATTCGCCTTTTCCATATCGAGCAGGGTACTGGGCTCGAGTTCGGACCGCAAAGCATGCATGGATTGTTTGGAAGGACAGAAATTTTAGTAATGGCGTCCATCGCGACTGGAAATTGCATGTCAAAAGAAAAGGTTATTTTGACTGAAGAAGATATTCCCGGCGCTAAAATTTCACGTGATTCGATAGAACAATGTACCGTAGTTCAACTACGAAGATGGCTTTTGTGTAGGGGAGCAAAAACCTCTGGAAATAAAGCTGCTTTGATTAGTAGGTAAGACGATGTTGTGATTGTTTATGTTTTGCCCTCTTTTCTATAATTTTTTTTTTTTTATCCGTTAATTCTTGCTTTCATGTTAAAAAATCATGTTAAATCATTATTGTTATTTTAGAGTGCACGATTATGTAAAGAGTGGATTGCCAACCAAATATCTACGCGATCCTGATGGAGGCATCAACGTTTTAAAGAAAAAAGCTCAACTTGGCRTTCTTGACAACGCAGAACCAGAACTTTCTCCGACATTCCCGAAGGAAGGTTTTAGCTGTGACTTGACTGGAATGCCAAAGATAACTTTTGGCACAATATGGAGATATATGATTGACTATGTCGAGGTCAAGAAGCAGCTATCCACGGCCAAACCATTGGTCAAAGGCTATAACTTCTATAAATCTGGCCATGTTCTTTTCGTTAGTCACTT